CGGGAGCGGCCACTGCACTCCAGTCTGGACGACAGAGTGAGACTCCAACTCAAAACAAACAAACAAACAAAAAAAAAAACAACTCTAGTGAATGTTTCCTGGCAATGGACCTATATTCCAGAACTTTTTCACTGAGATGTAGAATATTTCATATAAAAAAACCTTTTTAGTTCTTTATTGTTATTATAATCCTGACTCAGCCAGTAGGCTATTTTGCAACTTCATTTCAGTGACATTAATGATGTATCAGAAATATGTTCCCTTTTAATAAGATATTTAAATTGCTGAATCACTTGGTGAACTTTTCTTATTTTGCACCTTTTGGGTGTAAGTCAATCTCTATTTCTTTAATGCTATTAGAAAAAATTGAATTAAAATACCCATGTGCATATATCTACTTTTCAGTAGGGTTTCTTTTATATAAATGAGGGGAGGAACGCTTCTCATATGTTTGAAGTAATCTTGTTGCTGACTTGTTTCCTTTTTTACCTTTCCTTGGGAATCTGGAATCCTTCAAAATTCTTCAAGAAATTGTCGGGGGGAGGGGGTAGTAGGGTCAGTAATTAGTTGATTAGCTCCACATTTGTCACAATCCCAACCCGACAATGACCTAAACCTCCAGGCTTCTGCTGCTGCAGTCGCTCAGAGTTCCAGCAGCACAACTTGTGGCAGGTACATAGAAGTAGGAGGAGCTTCTTCCCCTCTGGTCTTCTGAGAGTGATGCATGTGGTCATGATTACTTTTTAAAATGATCGTTCTGTTTCGGAAGAAAGCAAATTCAACTTAAAATCGAGGGACTGGTCCACAGATTACAGCACAATCTTGTCTTGAGGAAGCGCACGTTTTCCAAGAGAATTGCCGGCTCTAGTCTGTCTCCGAACTCAGGTGAAAGGGTTTCCTCGCCGGAAAAGAGACACAGTCAAAGCAGTAAAGCCAAGACCATTTCATAGCTGCTCGGGAGAAGTTATTTTCGCTGTGAAGAACCTGGACTCTAAAGACAGGGGATGCTAAAACAAATCTTCAGCCTGCGACAGGCTCTTAACTCTTCCTCTCCTCCCTCCCTAGTGCCTTCTAATGCGTGCGTGTAGACCCAGCGCTGCAGCCAAGGAATGTGCCCAGGCGCACCAGCTATAGCAAACACGCACGACGACATGCCAAAGACCTCACCGACCCCGGTTCCGCCTGGGAAATCAGCTCCAGCCCCGAGGTCTCCGGGCGGGGAGACGGGCCGCCAGATGGTTTTATTGTCTTTGCTTGAAACCAGTGGCTTTTGAAAGCAGGCGTTCCCTTTCCCTGGGCAGGATTGCGGAAGCCCAGACTCGGTTTCTGGAAGGAAAACCCGGGCCGTGGCAGAGCGAAGTGGAGGCTTTCCCCTGGGTCCCGTCCTGTGGCACGTGGATCCCACCCCGCACCCCTTCACCGGGGAATCGCGGACGCCACGCTCCCTAGCATTTTGTCGCTCCTCCCTCCTGCCCGGCTTCCTAAACTCCAGGCAGGCTCGGGGACTCCCGCCGGACCCTGTTTCCATCTTCGCACTCGCGGCCAGAGTCGCGTGCTTCCCGGGTTTATTCAGGAGGCGTATTTATGGTCACAGATTTGTCTCCAGCAATTTGTTGTGACCGCGCGGCCGGCCCTCGCAGGGTCATTTCAGAGCGCGTTCCCAAATGTCCTGGTCCTCAAGCCCTCACCGACCCCTAGCACACGATGCCCGCGGCGGCGGTGGAGCAGGTGTGCTGTTGGCAGGTAGTTCTTCGCTATGGTCAAGGAGGGGAAGGTGCTCCGTATCCGTCCCTTTTCCGACAACACCTGAAACCGTATTGGGGCACACCCCAGCAAATCCCATGAATCCGAACACCCCCGCGGAAGGTGTCCAGATTCGAGTCTGGTCCGACCGCCCCCTCTCCGCGCCAACCCTGGAGGCATCTTCTCAGCACGAACTTTTCCTCCCCATCCCAAGGGACACACGCCTCGGCGCGCAGGGTCCGCCTCTTCCCGGTGCTCGGCTGGGGGCGGAGAGGGGCGGGGGTGGGTGGGCAGGGACCTGGATCTGAGTAGCTGAGAGAGGGAAGCCGTGGTCCCGACCGCTCTCTCAGGTCTCCCGGTCCTGGCAAGATCTGCGAGGAGAGACAGGACGACGGAGTAGGAGCAAGGGTTCTGTCACTGAGGGGTTCGAAGCGGTCTCAGAGCTCCCACCTCGCGCCCGACCCCGGCCCCGCCATGGGGTCCCCTTCCAACTCGGGCTTCTATGTGAGCCGCACGGTGGCCCTGCTGCTGGCAGGACTGGCGGCCGCGTTCCTGCTGGCGCTGGCTGTGCTCGCCGCGCTGTACGGCCACTGCGCGCGCGTCTCGTCCTCCGCGCCGTGCGGCCTCGGGGTACCGGACGCTGCTCCCGCCCCGTCGGGTGGGCACGGGAAGCCACCGCCCACCCCGAAACCTGACCGTGCGCGCGAGGCTACGGTGACTCCCACCGCGGGCGACTGGCATCCCCCTGGGCCCTGGGACCAGCCGCGCCTGCCACCCTGGCTCGTGCCGCTGCACTACGAGCTGGAGTTGTGGCCTCGGCTGAGGTTCCACAAGTTCTCGGAGAAGTCGCTGCGGTTCACCGGCCGGGTGAACATCACGGTGCGCTGCACGACGGCCACCGCGCGGCTACTGCTGCACAGCCTCTACCTGGACTGCGAGCGCGCCGAGGTGCGGGGTCCCCTCTCCTCGGGCGCGGGGGACGCCGCCGCCGGCCGCGTGCCGGTGGATAACATGTGGTTCCAGCCGGACACGGAATATTTGGTGCTGGAGCTCGGCGAGACCCTGCAGCCAGGGAGCATCTATGAACTGCAGCTCAGCTTCCGGGGCATGGTGGATGAGTACCTCAGGGAGGGACTCTTCCTCAACGTCTATACCGACCAGGGCGAGCACAGGTAAGGGCGGGCCAGCCCGGGGCCCGCTCGGCTCGTCTCCGCGTCCCGGCGCAGGCTGCGGTCAAGTTGCCTACCGCGCCCAGGGGCGCATCTCCAGCTTTCACTCCCTAAAGGGCTTCCCTCTCATCCCTGGCGACGCTTTATTCCAGGGCCAAAGGGCGAGCGCCCCCTCCTTTCCTTTTCCCCAAACCTTGCTGGGAATAAAAACTTTGAGAGGTGGCCTTTCCTCTGGCCAGTTTTTGGCCCAACCCCTGCCTCTTTTGAGGTCACTGGTGCTCCCAGACGTTCAGAAGGCCCCTTTCTTCCCATAGTTTGAAATTTCTTCAACCCTTTGAACAAACCCCGTGCTGCTCAAAGATTGGTCCTTGGACCAGCAGCAGCTATAATCCTTGGGAACCTGATAGAAATGCAAAATCTCAGACTCCACTCCCGACCAGGGGGATCAGCATCTGCGTTTTAACGAGGTCTGGGGTGACTCTCGAGGGCTGAAGTTGGAGGCGCGGGGCTGAAGTCCCTGCCACGTGCCCAGCGCTCGCCGCGCGCGGCTCCCTGCTCGTTTTCCAAACTCTGCAACCGCGGCTCTTTCAACAGGTATACCCGGGTCGAGGTTGTTTGTTCCCTCGTCTCTTGATTTGTTGATAAGGTTCTCCACAACTTCGGAATCATCCCTCTTTGAACTCTCCCCCTCCCACCCCTGCCTGGGGAGCGCATCTTTTTTTTTTGCTGGAGGACGGATGCCTCTTGAACCTGCTCCGGGCACTGCAGGGCTTCAGAGCCCGACACCATGGGGATTGCTCTGCTGGAAAGAATAGGAAAGGGAATGGGAATGGGAATGGGAATAGGAATAGGAATAAGACTAGTAATAGTCTTATTCCCGTGTAATAGTCTCGTGTTCTTTTTGCACTCATTTGAGATATCTCCCACTCTGATTGCTTCCCATCCTTGCATGACAAACGTGGCCTCTGTCCATACTCTGCGACCAGGCCACTGTCCTCCAGTGAAGTGAGGAAAGTGGAAGATAACAAAGAAGTTGTTTTTTTTTCTTTTCCAACCGGCGATTTCTTTTTACTCACGCACTGGCGGAGCATTTGTGGTTTATGCAACTGCATGTACTTTGCCCTTTATTATTAGAGAAAATGTTCTCAGATGTTCTCTGAAGGAGAGAAACCCATAAATTATTCCCTAAACCATCTTCTGCATTATTCTCAAAATTTCAGGCGTTTTAAAGTAAGTTCAATGAACTGCCCCAGATGATGTGTCATCTGTGACTTTTGCTTTTAAGGACAGTGCGTTTGACTTTCCTTTCAAAAATGCATCAATGCTTGATAAATAGTTTTGAAATGTTCTTATTCAGATGTTGTGTTACCCAACTTATGTGTACTGGGAACTTTCTGAAATTACTATGTGAAGTTCAGGATGCAAGATCTTTCAGAGGAAAAAAATGGAAACTCTTTGCATACATATCTGACAGGTTTTTTGCTTCTGGTCAGTAAATTTTCATCTGTTCACCCATCTCTTCCTTCTTCTTGTTTTCGGTGGGGCTATGGCCTAGACAAAGCAGCAAAAATGATAGAGTCTCTTGCCATTTTTCTGTTGTACCACCAACTCTAGCATGAACCAGAAACCATATTTTCAGAACATCAAAATTCAAACGAGAAATAAATAACTTAATAAAGTCCTACAACTGTTCATAAACCAAGATAGAGCTCCAGAATTGTGATGTTTTGGAAGAGGTGTTACCAGGAGGTTGTACTGTGGTTAAGTCTGACGTCACGGTCATAAAGAACTTGCACAGAATGACGGTTTGCAGTGGCAGAATGCGGGAGCCCAACGGGCCTGAGTTTGAACCTGAGCTGTGTAAATTGAGCCAGTCTTATAATCTCTCTGAGTCTGTGGCCTAATTCATGGAATAGATATAATGACCATCAACTTTTAGAGTATTGTGAGGATTACATGAGAAAGGCGGTGTGCTGTGACCAGCACACAACCTGGGCAGTGGTAACTGCTGTACTTAGGTTGGGTTATCATTGTAAAAAAAACAGCCTCCTTGATGTGTAAACATGGAAACTGTCAAGTCCAAGAAAAAGATTCTTAGGTGGGGAGAAGCCAGGAGCTGGAAAAGTAGGGAGTCATTGTTTAATAGGTATAGATTCTTGTTTTGCAAGATGAAAAGAGTTCTGGAAATTGCTTGACAATAATGTGAATGTACTTAATACCACTGAACCATACACTTACAATGGTGAAAATGATAAATTATGTGTAATGTGTATTTAACTACAATTACAATTTTAAAAATAGAAAAAAAATTCTAGATTAGTGAGTCTAGAATAGGGCTCAGAAACGTACATATTTTAATGATTGTCTCAGATAATTCTGATGCCCACAATCAGTGCCTCACACTTTTTCCTAATTTTTTATTTTGAAATAACTATAACCAGAGGTCGTAAAGATAGCATAGATAGATCCCAGGTACCCTTCATTTAGTTTCCCCAAATGATTATATCTCACGTAATTAAAGTACAATATTAAAAGCAGGGATTTGACATTGGTACTATATGTGTGTCTGGTTTTATGTTATTTACCACATGGTTAGATTTGTGTAACTACTTCCACAATCAAGATACAGAGCCTCAAAGACTGGTCTCATAATTCCTCTTTATATCACACCCCTCCCCCACTATTTCTCACCCCTGGCAACCATTAATCTGTTCCCCATTTCTATAATTTTGTCATTTTGAGAATACTATATAATTGAAATTATATAGTATATGATCTTTAGATATTGGGTCTTCTTAGCATAATGCCTTTGGGATCCATCCAAGTTGTCGGTATCAATAGTTTGATTCTTTTTATTGCTGAATTATATTCCATGGTATGGATATACCACTGTTTAGTCATTTACATATTGAGGGATATTTTAGTTATTTCTAGTTTTGGCTATTACAAATAAAGCTTCTATGAGTGTGTGCATGTTGTGAACATAGTTTTATTTCTCTGGGACAACTGCCCACAAGTATGATTGCTGGGCTGTGTGGTGGTTGCATGTTTAATTTTTAAGAAGTTGCCAAATTGCTTCCCAAAGTGGAGGTATTATTTTACACTCCTCCAGTAATGTATGAGTTTCTATGCCACCATTTGGTATTGTCACTATTTTTTACTTTAGCTGTCCTGAGAAGTATATAGTAATATCTCATTGTGGCTTTTGTTTGCATTTCTCTAATATCTAATGATGTTAAACATCTTTTCATGTGCTTATTTGTCATCAGTGTATAATCTTCAGTGAAGTGTCTCTTCATGTCTTCTGCCTAATTTTTTAATAAAATTTTTTAAACTGTTGAATTCTGAGTTCTTTATATAGTCTAGATTTAGTTATTTGTGAGATATATATGGCTTGAAAATCTGTTTTCCCAAGCTGTAGCATGTCTTTTTATCCTCTTAATAAGGTCTTCCACAGGAAAAAAGTTTTAGATATTAATGAAGTCCAATTTATCTAGTATTTTAATGGATTATGCCTTTGGTGTCAGATCTAAGAACTCTTCACCAAGTCCTAGGTTCTGCAGATTTTCTATATTATCTTCTTAAAGTGTTTTATATTCAAAGTGATCCACTTTGAATGAATTTTTATATAAGATATGATATTTAGGTCAGAGTTTTTTGTTTTGCTTTGTTTTTGGCCTATGGATATCCAATTGACCCAGCACCATTTGTTGAAAAGACATCCTACTCTCCATTGAATTGCTCTTGCACCAGCTGAATGCAAGAGTTTAAAAACATGCTGGTGTTGCACAGGGTGTGTCTTGATGGCTCATCTTCAGTGGTGGTCCTCTGGGAGGCCTGGTTGGTGTTATCTCAGCTGCAGTCAGGTTATGGATCAACTAACTCCTGACTCCCCCAAGTGGGAGGATCCCACAGTCAGGCTGTTTTAAGGTTTAAGATTAAGAGAGAGAGAAAAAAGAACAACTTTAAAATACATTTTAAATTTTGGTAAGTAAATTTTGACAATACCTTACAATCTGTATAAAATAAATGTCTAATCTAGTACAAATGGTTGTAGTTACAACATTCTGTTTCATCCAATGATTCCTAACAATTATTACCAAGGACTCTATAAAACATAGCACTATGGAACTATACTTTGTACCAGTTGCTCCTGACCTTGGGAACCCATTGCAGAGGATACCCCTAAGCTAACAGGTGGTTACTCAGCTTGTTGAGGGTTACTTTATCATCTGATAATGGGAAAGTTTGGTATGTTTTATTTATTTATTTATTTATTTTTGAGTCTGTGTTTTTTCCTTTCCTGGTAAGTACAAATCAGTCAAATGGTCTTGGATTACAGAATGGCTACAAAGTCATCTTTGACTCTTTTAAAGAACTAAATACACATTTTCTGAAATATATCCCTGAGGGTAAAATTAGTTATACCAGTACTGAGATACTTTGAGGATCATTTTCCATTTGTATCCCCTTGAAGATGAGCTTGGCTCTCCCAGAAACCCTTGTCTGGTCCCAGTGAATAAATCAGAATCTTTGGGATCCCTTTGATAGGGTGATATCGTACCATTACTGCATATCAATTATTTACATCCACATTTTAATGTACTGAGTACAAGAATTATATAAGGTATGTATAGATGTAAGAAGCATGGTATCTAACTCCATGAGAAACAATTTAAAAACAACACAAAATACCAGAGTGATGTCCTTTTGTTGTTGGTATAAGTGGATTGAGAAGGTTTGGAATGAAATCTTTTAAGTTAATATGAAGATAATGCCTTCCTTTTGTTTGAGAAATCTGAAGTTCAGATCTTCATTAGAATCGCCAGTACTTTTTGTACTGCTCATGACACTTTCTGAGAAAATATACCCTATTCAGGTTGTGTTCTATTTCAGTGGTCTTCTCTCCTTCCAGTTCCAGCTTTCTAATGATTAGTGTTTATATGACATATCCTTTTGTAGCCTTTTACTTTTCACCTATATGTATCTTGATGTTAAATGTG